TATAAATATAATGTGAAGTTCTGTAACTGTCCAGAGACTACAGATAAGCAAACCGTTTTATGTGAAAACACAATTCTGGACGACAACTGACTGAACTGTGAGCCGCTACCTCTAGTCAATATACAACAAAACATTAATGAATTGACCTTATTTAGCGTTTCACATCATTTGATTAAGCATGCTGTGCACACTGCTTCTGGATGGGATTACAACCCCTTATCACGATTTGGAGTTGTGCAACCGCCCTCTAGGAAAACGACCAAGTACCAGTGTTGACCAGCTTTTGTCCACATCATACTACTTCTCTCCCCGTACAAGTCTATTGGCATATAAAACCAGCTTGAAGGAGTTCAGAAGGAGGCCAACTGCAAGTCAAATGCACTTGCAATGAATGCTGAATAATCTCAAACATCTCAAAAGCTAATGTCAAAGCAAGTTGCATTTGCCCATCGACAAGCCCAAAGTCCATCAACAGAGGCCCAAATTGCCCTGTGGTAATAATTCACATTGGATTGTTTGATAACTAATGAAAGGGATATGCATGTCCAATGCCAACAACTCTCCTTATAATAAGGCCAAGTTCTAAGCACAGCCTCAGCAAAGGGATCTGAAGGAAACTGATCATGAAAGAATCATACAGAATTTCAGTAAAAAATACACTTAAGGTCATTTTAGTTCATATAATACCAAATTCTTTGGTATAATATAGAAGATGAGGTTGTGTTGAGTAAATAGATACCCAACATGCTAAGTTTAAAAATGGTGTGTGCCCGTGAAGCTACGAAAAACTATGGTGCCCCAAATTGTCCATAGGCAAAGCTGTAAAAGCCCGTACAGGTCATGAATTTAGAGTTAACAGTGAATAACGGCCCGAAAATTATTTTTGCTCTCACATACGCAGCAATACCTAACATGTATGGCGCAGTCGGTATTTTCGTATTTATGCGCACCTGATTGCAACATTTTGCATTGTGCACTCCTGACTTTACTGGCATTAAGCTTTAGGAGGTCATCTCTCAAAAATTTGAGGAGAAACACTGCCAGTCACCTCGAACACTGGCTTAATGGGGAAGGGTAGGGCGGAATGCAGCAATCAGCTAAAAATATTTAGGACAGCTGTTTTGCCCCTTTCAAAAAATGGTTTTGCCAAGTTTGTTTTATGGTACAAAAAGCAATAATATACAATAACAAAAACAAAGAATTCTATGCACTGCACAGAAACTCCAAGATAGAATACTGAACAGCAACAAAAGACTTTATTAAATAACTAAGAAAATTGGCACAACATTCATATTATGCAAACAGAGGAATAAAATCATGTCAACATAACCACTTACCCGAATTTCACAATTTTAAACAAAGGGACGTTCCCATACATATTTGTTATGTGTGTATTACAGAACTATAGCGGCAGCCAATGTTTAGCCTTCATCACCGTCAAGTCATAAGTAAATAGCAATAAACCTCTGAATATCTGACCTCAGAGCCAGAGTCAATGTGCTCACAGGCATGACTTCACTTTCAAATAGATACAGTCACTAGGCTTCAGTTTTACATACAAAGTTGAAAGATAAATGTAATGTTACAAAGCAAAACACGGTCTTTGGCGAGTCTGGAGTTTCTCCAAAAATGACCTTTTATTCATTTTAGCTACTGAAAGTTATTTAACCACTTGCTGACCGGGGTGTTAAACCTCCTTCCCATCCAGGCCATTTTTCAGCGCTGCGGTACTTTGAATGACATTTATTCCGTCATGCACACTGTACTGAAATTAATTTTATACAATTTTTTTAGGGACAGATAGAGCTTTCTTTTGGCGATATTTATTCACCACTGCGGTCTTTATTTTTTACTATAGTAAGGAAAAATTAGCGAATTAAAAAAACAAAAAAAAACAAAAACAGTTTCCCCTATATTAAATTACAAAACATTTTTCTCTCCCGTTCATTGAAGGACACAGGGAACAGATCGGCGATCATGTACTGTAGGGTAATATCGCCACCTGCAGGAGAAGGACGCTAGGCACAAAAAAACTAAAAGACCAATTACAGCCTAGGGGCGGCCCCTGCCGGTGGCCAAACCCCCCACCTACTGAGAAGTCTCCAGTTTTTTGCCTAGCGTCAGGAGTAAGGAGCTAAGAATTTTCCTCGGTATTCTTACCTGCTTCTTCCTGATTTTTTTCAGAGGATTCTTCTAGCAAGTGTTGTCCGGGCGACAGGCTGGATGTCTTGGATCCTTGGAGTCTCCCCTGGATAACCAGCGAGCGTATGCAGGCCCGCTACGGTGGGTCGGCTACGACGGCCCCGCTCCGGCGGGGTGGCCTGTGGGTTCGTCCCAGGGGGGTGCATATGACTGGGGGTCTCGGCCGTCCAGTCACAGCACTTCCCTCAGGCTGCTGGCGCCGCGACTGCGGTCGGGGGCGCCAGTTCTCCGCACAGCACCTGTGGCGTTTTTTCCTGATGTCCCCTGCGCTGCTGTCGGTCTGGAGGGGGGTGCCTGGTCCGCATCCTCCTGGGTATGTATGAGATGGGCCTGGATGCTTTGGCTCCACATGCTCACCCCCTCCTCCTCCATCCTCCGTCGCCTGTCTGTCGGGGTGTGTGGCCCTGGGGGTCCTTGCCTGGATCCTCGGCGTCAGGAGGCGGCCTGCAGGTGTTCCAGGGGTGTTTTGGGGTCGGGCTGCGGTCCTGGTGCTGGCGGAGGCTTGGGGCCTCTGGCGCTGCTGGCCGCTCGGTTCCGTTCGCGGGGGCCGCTAATCGAGCCCCCGGCTTCGTTTGCGGCCTTCTCGGAGGCCG